AGTTCGTGTAAAATTAAGATGGATACAGACTTGTTAATATACCTTACATTAACGGTAATAGAAGCACCTTGTGAAGTCAAGTGATAGCATGTAGTTAAAAAGTCAGTGCTGTTGGTGCTCTGGATAGTCAGCAGCTCAGTGGGAATGACTCTCATCCAATCAAATGTACTTGGTTGGTAACAACTGTTGTATACAACCGTTAACATTGTTATCATCCACACACACCTCTAAACTGCCGCCCTAGAAGAATTTCCCCGCGTAAGAATCTGACAAATTCTTTTAATCCCAGTTTCCAACTTCATGCGGAATAAGTTATTAATATTAAAACAACGGAATAAATTTGTCCCTCTAGGTCACCCAGTGTGTGTCTTCATTGTGACATCCACCAGTAGTCTTTGTTTGTAGAACCCCTTGGGTGCAGAGAGAAGCTGTCCAGTCTCAGACCCAGGCTCTGATGTTCCTGTCAAAACAGAGACCAAAGGGATTTTTACAACTATGGACAGCTCCTCACAGTAAACAGTAGTACCATTAAAAATATCATTATATACTCTTAAGCTGAGACACTCATCGTGAAGAAGGAATTATAGATACAATAGACTTGTAATATTTGAGCTAATAGAGAGCCAATATCTCTCTCAAAAAAGCTGTAGTTCAGCTTCTTCCAGTGTAAAGTAAGTGGTGGCTTGAAAAGTAACTAAGGAAGCTTCCCCAACGCTGAATAAGATTATGTAATAGGCTCATGTTGTTGATCAGTGATAGAGACACAGAGAGGAGAGAGCCCAGCTGATGATGATGATGATGATGAAGAGAGCTCTGTCTCTAACATGATGTGGACTGAGGCGTCAGACTCAGACTCCTTCATGTTCCTCACACTGGGTTAAACATTTGTGACACAGCAGTTTCTGTCAGGTCCTCCTGCCATAAATACCACCACACTTTTTATTGACAATGCATGATAAAGGTATCAGTTCAATAGTGTCTGAGTCACTAAGTTTTATGGTGTTAGGTCAGTGAGCTTCAACTTTTTAGGTTCATATTAAGAGCACGTTTATTAAATCACGGCACCATATGAGAGCAAGTTCGTGTGTTTGAGCTCTTTTACTACAAATCCTGTTCAGAACCTCACAGTTCCACCAAACACCACGTTCCTCGCAACGAACTCCACTTTGAGCAGCTCACTGATAACATCTACTGTATATGGTGCTGTAGTACATTCATATAAACAAGGCAATAATATGTCATGTTTTCAGGTTACTCTGCTGCCGCCAAGTGGCAACAAAAAGGAAGTTGTTGTGTGTTACTCTCCCCCTCTGAGCTGACACTGTCTCACACTGCTTTGACGACAAAGCACAAAGAAGAACCAGGACACTACCATGATCATCTGCCCTGTTTATTACTGCAGCTGCTGTCAGAGGAGGCATGTCATTGGCTGTCCGAGTTTCCAGTGAGAAAAATCAGGTAACAAGAAAAACACTCCTATAATTACATAACAGCTTTTTACATTCTGAGTTCAGCAGAGGTCAGTAAATGATTATGTACAGTCAGACGCCCCCTCAGTGAACAGTAAGGCAGCAGCTCGGCCTGATGGGTAAAGGTCCGGTGAGTACAAACAACAAATGAAAGAAGAAGAGTTGGAATGAATTCTCCTGCATCAGCGTCACAACCTACAGTCTGACACCAAAACAACGTGGTCTCAGCATGGACTGAACTTTACGGCGTCCACTCCCTGAACTCATCCTCAGGTGGGTCATATAAGGCTGAACACTGTCCCTCATTCTCCCCTGGTGCTGTTTTATAAGAACCTGTTCAGCTGATGTTCTACAGTCTGGGCCCAGGTTTCTGTGGAGCTGTCAATCATGGTGTCATCACTGTTCTGATGAAAACGACTGCAGCTTCTCCCACATGAAACACACACTGTAACACACACGGTACACAGTACGTTACATACACAGCAGGTTTACATTCAAAGAGGATTCTGCCAAACATGACATTTTTTTCCCTTCACACCAGCAACAGTCATATATATATATATATACAATCTATAAAAAACTATAATATATATATATATATTGTTTTCAGATTGTCCATCCATACAGTTGGTTGTCAGTCCCATTCCTGTGGACATGATATCTCAGTAACACCTTGATGGAACTTCTTCAAATTTGGCACAAACATTCACTAGGACACAAGGATAAACTGATTCGATTTTGATGGTCAAAGGTCAAGGGTCAATGTGAGTGTGATCTCACAAAACACTTTCTTGCCATTACTCTGGTGATGTTCTGTATATTTCAATGTCAACAAATCCCAGACTCAACCAACTAGTGACCGTCTCCTACCAACCAGCACAGTGTATCTACAGTCTGATTCCTCTGAGCCACAGAGCTCCAGTTTCAGTGACATGTTCCTTCACCATGAACACACACTGTAGTTTATTTAGACTCGGTCACACATAATCCCAAACAAAGTCAGTTTCCTCCTGTTTGTTTGATAGAAATCACTGTGATCAACTGTTTCATCAAAAAATCACTGAGAAAATGAAACTATGTTTGTGAGCAGTTTTTAAAGATTTCCATCCTCAGTAGGAACCAATGAGCTGAGACCTGAGGGACAGACAGAGGAGGGAAGTCAGGAAGTACTGAGACGGACTAACACACTGTTGGTTCTGAACTTTTCATGGGATTTGTTGACAAAAATAAAATTATAGTTGAACGCTAGATTAAACCTTTAAGTTCCTCACGAGTCAAAATCCCATGTGGAGTAGTTTTGTAGCTGCGAACTTGTGTCAGAGTTCAGAGATCACCTGGAAGATCTGACCCACATTCAACTACAGGTCTGTTACATCACTCCTTACAGTCCCCATCACAGATCACATGACAACCTGACAGCTGTCTGATCTAAAACACGGAGCAACAGGCCACAAGGATTCAGATCCTGCTACAGGAGGAGGAGCTCTCAGATTCAGAGTCAACTGAATCGTCATCTACATTTCTGACACTTCACATTAATGTGTCAACTTTAGTGGAACAGATCAGGAGCGAGTGTTGCTACTGTTGATACACTGAGCCGGTGATCCTGAGGGAACCACAGTGAACATCAGGACCGACAGCTTGGGAAGACTGATCAAACTACATTCACCTCCTCGTGGTTGTTTCCTCCACCAAGCAGACAAGCTACAGGAAATATGGTCACAATCTACAGTGTTGAATCATGGCCAGAAGTGCTTTTGCAGAATATTATCACAGTGAAGTTGACCTTTGACCTTTTGGATATAAAATGTCATCACTTCATTTTATCCTTATAGACATTTGAGTTAAATGGTGTCATAATTCATGTATGAATTTGAGTTACGGCCAAAAACATGTTTTGTGAGGTCACTGTGACCTTGAACTTTGACCTTTGACCACCAAAATCTAATCATTTCATCCTTGAGACCAAATGGAGGTTTGTTCCAAATTTGAAGAAGTTATGTCAAGGCGTTGCTGAGATATCGTGTCCATGAGAATAGGACGGACGTACGGATACGTCTCTGACTGTTGCCGGCGCACAGCAATGAAAACTATTCATCAACTTGTCAGATGTTTGGATTGAGTTCTTTGTTTGTTGTTTTCTTCCTTTAAACAGTTGAGGACTTGATTTTCATGAATATATTATTTGGTGAAGAAATAGAGTTATATGGCACCAACATGATGAGAGAGTCTCCAACACGCTACATGTTTGTAGTGTTTGACCCATAGATAAACCAACCTGACAGTAATCAGACCAGGTTCAGGTTTAAGACCTGAGTTTGGTTCCAGTCTCTGGTCAGAGCCGGACCACATGACACAACCTCAACCAGTATCACAACCAGCCGAGGAGCAAAATGAAGCTGGACTCAGTAACTGCATGTTCCGCCCCACCAGAGTCCACTGAGGACGGACTCTGTCCCAGCAGCACTGTTGTCTCCCACAGTCAGCTGTGACCACCAGAGGGCTGAAGAGGACTGAACCTGTGGCCCCTCCCACAAACACACGGTCCAGGTCTTAAGGCAGATTCAGGTTTCTCCATGAGGGTGAAACACTGGGCCTCATGCAGACACATGATGATAAACGGCTACATGAAGGTTTCATTCACAGACAGGCTAACAAAGAGAAGGAGGAGGAGGACGAAGCAGGAGAAGAAGAAGAAGCAGGAGGAGAAGGAGAAAGAGAAGAAGCAATGAGATGCCTCACTGACCGTGATGAATACACCAATAAACATCTACTGTAACTCCACCCAGTGAAGCTGTGATGATGATGATGATGATGATGAGGATTCATTTAGCATCAAGTCTGTTTCATTTATATATTTTATTTCAGTGTAATATCTAAACTCCAGATTGGTTCAGATTAAGGCTGACCTGTACTGGTCTGGTCTGGTCTGGTCTGGTCTGGATTGTCATGAACTTGGTTCCTCTTAAATCCCTAAAAGAACTAATGGAGGTTCTTGCATGAGGCCCAACAATAAAGAAGCATAAATCTACCTGCTGCATCAAACCTCAGTCGGTCTGTCAGACCAGAGTCCACTGTGTCAGTGGATCAGAGGCTGGACGTGTCACTGACCTCCAGACGAGCAGCATTGAACCCGAGGCAGAATCACTGCACATGATGAACATGTTGGCAACAGCAAAAAGAAAGACAAAGAGAAATTAACAGTACATACAGTAAATCATTCACAGCTGCAGCAGCTGCTCTGATCTGATCCCAGTACATCCAGTAAAGGACAAACAGGAAACAATACGTCGGTCCCACCACACATCCAGTTAAACAAACTCCAGAGAGTCCAGTAAAACCAGTGGACAGACAGTCCTGTCCACCTGACGACTGCTGCAGTGTGGACAGCAGCACCCCCGTGCACCCCCAGTCTCTGTCTTTCCACCACCGCTGTACACGAGGCCGGCCCCCTGCCCGCCGCCCTCCTCCTTCCTCCCTCCTCCACCACCACCCCCCCTCCCCTGTCAGTAAAGGCTCCAGGCCTGCTGATGCTGATGCTGATGCTGATGCTGATGCTGGGGGTAAAGTGATGAAGAGCTGGAGGATGAGGCGGTGAGCTCTCCAGGGCCAAGCTGCTTTCCACACACACACGTTCAGTCCAGCTTCTCCTTCTGCACCAGCTTGGGAGCATCGACAAAGTCACGGCCGTTAAAGAGGATGAGGCCGCCCGTCACCACGCTGGCCGTCCCCCAGAACAAGACGTAGGCCAGAGTCTCAGTCCACGTGTCACCTGAGAGGGGACAGCGGGTCACAGCAGGTCAGCAGAGGAATACAAACATGTTTCAGTGCAGACATGTTACAAGCCTGATGTGAATTCATTTGAAGATAAATAAACTGTTGAACTGCAGTTTGTCTCACCAGCCATCAGCAGGCAGATGATGCACATGGAGAAGGCGACCACCATGATGATGGGCAGCTGGAAGGAGAAGAAGACCAGAGTCACATTAAACACGTTGGACAATTTAAACCTGATCAGTCCATCATCCCGAGTCTCTCTCACCGTCAGGAACTTCCAGTCTTTGGGGTCACGCAGAGGCGTGGTCCAATCAGCTTCCTCCACAGCATAGTTCCCCAGGAATACATCAATGGAGTCCTGCATTAGAACAGACCAGAGTTACCAATGTTTTTATTAATACAAATAGTGTTAATTAACTAATAGACAGGAAATCCCTTTCAAATTATCATAACCGTCTCTGGAAATCGTCACACAGGCTAGAAACCTTGGAATGATCCTGGATGCTGACCTCTCTTTCCAGAGCCACATTAACAGCACAGTTAAAACTGGTTCTTATCGTTTAAGGAATATCACAAAAGTGAGGAGTTTTTTATCCCAGGAGGACACTGAAGGATATCTATCTATCTGTCTGACTTGGTTGTGAACTGTGAACCAGTTAGAACCTGTTATTCCCCGGGTCTCCACAAAAATTGGTGAAACTGCCTTCAGCTTTTATGCTGGAACATGTAACTTAATCACAGTAGAGGTGCTGCCATCTTTTAAATAAACTGTAAACTTTCCTTTTTAGCAGCGCTTTCCAGTCATCTGCTTTGCTGCTCTTAATAAACCATTTAATTTTATTTTTTATAGTTTTTATTTTTTACTATTCGGTTGTTGGTCTTAATAATCTTCTTTTCTTTATGTGTATTTTAATTTGTGTCTAATGTTTTATCTTTACACTTCCCACATCATTTTTGTGGTTGCAACCTCCTTGATAACTCAGGCTTTGTGCAGCATGTTGCGCTTCCACCTGGAATGAAACGTGCTGTATAAATAAAGTTTTTCTTACTGGCAGAGTGAAGTCCTCAGCTGCCCTGAGGGTATAAAAATCTCTGTTCTGGATCAGGTTCAAATTTAGTTTTGGTTCTTTTCAAAAGTTCATTAAAATCTTTTACATTTCAGATGTTGCTTTACATGCTGCACCTACTCACTGCACCTGAACTGAATCCTCCTCATTCAGACTCTGGACTAAGCTTCTGTTGTCAGGCAGAATCACTGGAGCCTCTTTCTGTTGCCATGGTAACATGTTACCTCACTGCTGTACACAGTGTTATTTGAGAATGAACAGAAAAGTGCACACACCTGAAAGGTCCAGTGTGACTGTGCAGTAAATTGAATAACTGCAGGTGTGCTCAGCTACAGTGAGTATGATTGGTCAAAGTTGAACCAGGAAGTAGCGCTCAGGCTGTGAGAGGACACCTGTCTGACTCACCTGTCTAAACCCGTCAGAGAAGTTGTTTTTGTAATATCGGATCATGGAGTTCCAGCCGTCCATCAGCAGCCCCCACTGAGTCCTCTTCCCCGTCCTGAAAGAGCAACCAATCGGTCAACACCACACAGTGACCTTTGACCTTTCCTCCAGCATCTCCATTTACACCTGTAGACTTTAATATATCATAACTCATTCACTTTACTGAGGACGTTCATGCTCCTAACTTCACACTAAATCTTGATTCTGTTTCAAGTGGAAGTGACTGGACACATCAGTCAGTAGTGATCAGTGAGGGCCAGAAGAACAGCTCAGGAGAACCAGGTCAGGAGAACCAGGTCAGGAGAACCAGAACATATCAGGATTCCTCTTCTATGAACATCCAGGTGTTTTACAAAGCCGGACATTATCTGTTAAAATATATCTGAACCCAAGTGTTGGGGGAGGGACGGCTCGACAGATCTCCATCCTTACGCTGAAGCAGGTAGCTAACATGCGATTAGCTGGTTGTTATCTGTGTGACAACTGACCTGGTGAAGTCTGTCTTCAAGGCTCCAGTTCCAGCGTACTGCTTGGCACAGGCGTCAGCATTGTCTGCCCAGGCTGTGAGTGGACAGGGAGGGAGACAGGGAGAATGAGGATAAACATCTATGACCTTAAATCTGGGTGTATCAGGTGACTCATTTGGGGGGGGGGGGGCTTACCGTTCTTGTACACCTTCTCAAAGTCTGCCTGCTCCTCAATCTGCTGGCCCGTGTGCAGGACACCCATTTTCTACAGGAACAAACAGATCTGAGTTCAGAGGTACAATCAACATAAACCTCCTGACTCACATGTCAGAGGATGCTAAGCTAAAAGCTACGACTGAGCCTCCCTGTTCTCCGATCTGCTCTTTTCTCTTAATGCAAAAGCAACACTTCCCGTTCACCTGAATATAAAACCACTGCACTCCACACAGCCTCTGTTCTCTATGCAGAACACGTTACCACTGTTCAGTCGTTTTATCACTGTCCTTCTCCTCCTCCTGTATTGGGGGGGGGGGGGGCTCCTACCCGTAGCTGTGACTGCAGAGACCGCCGTGCCAGCAGACTCTGGATCACATTGGTCCGGTCCAGACAGTCCATGCAGTTGCTCCGAAACGTCCCCTCCTGGTTCAGCAGCACCTTCCCATCTGCATCCACCAGGAAATATCTGAACACACACACACACACACACACACATACACACACACACACACACACATCACACACACACACACACACATTATTACTTCTGATGTAAAGATATGTGCACATATATATATCAGCCTGGTGTACTTGTATGTCACACTGACCCAGATTCATCCTGCATCTCAGCGACCATGTCCAGTAAGATCTGCAGGCGGTGCCACCTCATCCGACTGCACTCCTTGTGGAAGTCAAACGCTATGTACCTGCAGAGAGGAAACAAAGACTTCAACCAGATCTGAGGTGGAGGACACATGCGGCTCTAAAGGGATGGATGGAGGAGGCGGTGGTAATCTTACTTGATCATGCCGTTACCCAGGCTGGTCACCATCTTGTCAAACGCCATCTCCAGTGGCTTCTCTGAGCCCTTCTGGTTGATCTATGGAAAAACAGGAAAACAGGAACTCGGTGGTTTTATCTAAACCTAATGTAAACAGCCATAAATGAATATGTGGTTGTCGTGTCTCATTATTATTCTTCTAATCAGGGTCGTATCACGGATTAAACACACAGAGTGCAGGTTTGAGCTCACCAGGTTCAGAATGACTTGTCTTCCATAGAGAATGATCTGTGAGTCAAAGTGTCTCTGGAATCCGTCCAACTACAGAGAGAAGAAACAAACTGCATGAGGCAAACTGACAGACGCACAGTTCGTCTGACATCAGTGTGGAGAACAACTCACATGGTTCACTGTCTTGTTGATCTGTGGTTTGGGCTTGTACTTCAGGTTGGGTCTTTGGGACCAGTAGAAGGGGATGGAGCCTCTGGTCTAGGAAGGGAAAGGTCATAAACATCATCCAGTCTTCAGTCACCCACTGCTCCACATACAACACTGTTGCAGCCGCAGTGCAGAGGATTTACAGCATTCTGTCAGAGTCCACATTTCAGAGTGGACCACTGGACCACAACAGGAATGTGGACAGATGTGTGCAGCAAAGTGATGACCACTGTGGGGTTTCATACTGTATATATCATGGAAAACTGATCTAGGGGGAATATAATAATAACAAGACTAGGTGAAAAGCTAGTACATGTCTGGACCGCCTGTGGTCAAATCCTGATTTTATAACTGTGACGTCGTCTGACAAAATCACCAAACACGTAAATTAAAGATGAAGACTGAGCTGTGAGAGAGACAGAGAGAGAGAGACAGAGAGAGAGAGAGACAGAGAGAGACAGAGAGAGAGAGAGAGACAGACAGAGAGAGAGAGAGAGAGTGGGAGAGAGGGAGAGAGTGAGGATGACTCACAGCCTCCGTCTGGATCCACAATAGTTTAGTCTTTATTTACTTCAACTCCAGAACGTCACAGACTTTTATTAGAGGCAGGTCTTTATGTCTAACTCCCTCTATTTGATATGTAGAGTTGGTCACAGTCGTTAGTACGAAGCCTCGTTACAGATGACCTCTCTCTCCTGCTCTCTCTGCTCGGTGTGTCTTATGTTTAGTTATTCCACTGCCTCTTGCCATAGTGGAGGCGAGGCTCAGTGTAATGGAAGCGCTCCTCTGCTTCCTGCAGTTCCCAAGCAGCTGGGAAACCAGAGCAGCTCGGTAGACTGACCATAATAAGATGTGTAGCCCAAAGCCCCCAATCAGCATCCATACACGTCCAAAACCTGAACCAGGTTTACAAGTTTAAGTTGTCAACACTGCAGCTGTAAACACCTCCCTAATAGAACCTGTTTGCACCAGAAACTCCAACTCATTGACGAGGCACTCGGCTGACCAGTGATGGAAATATCATCAGTCAGTCAGTGACATTCCAGATTATAGGGCTGCCCCTGCTGTTGCGGTCCAGCCAACAATAATAATAATAATAATAATAATGAGCCAAATATGCACCTATACTGTATATATGTAACAGCACTAAGATTATCTATAAGATCTTTTGTTGCACTGATGTTTCTTCGTCTCATTGTCTTTGTTTTCCTGTTTTTCTTAATGTGTAGACTTTGTCTTGCACTGGTTGTGTGTTCTCTTTTGTGTAATTTGCGTGTGTTTTAATGTCTGTTCAAGGTGAGACAAACAAAGTTTCTTGAATTGAATTGAATAATCGTACAAAACTGACACAGATTGTTGTAATGATAATTTGAGGGTTGATGCTGTAAAGTATTTACAGTGTGTGGCATCATGATGAGAGGACAAAACGTTAACATGACATCAGCAGGTTGAGAATCTGGACTTGGTCTTCCTCCACCTGAACTGAGGCTTGAGTTCTTCATCACAGCTCTCACTCACCTGAACAAACGAGGCCTTGGCGCTGTTGAACTGCACGATCTGCTCCGTCTCTACGTAGTTAGCAGCGTGGCCTTCAGAGTCAATGCCTGCAGACACGAACACACACAACTGAACACACATCTAAAGGCTCGAGAACTGCAGAGACAGTGATCTGGACTTCATGTGCACTGGATGTGCCTGCAGAGTGTGTTTTTGTCACATGACATTCATTTGATGTTCACAGTGAGGTTTTTTTCCTGTCACAGATGGTTGTAAAACAATAATAACTATACTGTAAACACAGTACGTCTGCTGAAGACGCTCCTCTTCAGAGACAGACCCAGTGGACATGAGACAGAGACGTGACACAGCTGTGTGGGCGGAGCTGTTACCTCGGACGTAGTAGCGGACGCCGGCTCTGAAACAGCTCCTCCTGGAGATGATGCTCCACTCAAACACCTTCCCGTTGATGCAGCACGACTTCATGGTGATGACTGGTCAACAGAGGAGTTAAGAAACCAACAGAACTGACATGGAAGAGCGGAGAGTCACATTTAAATAAAACATCAAATAAAGAAAATTATCTGATGACTGATGATGAATATCTGATTTTTTTTTCTCTTGTTGGATCAGCATGAAAAATCTTCTTCATAACAAACACATAGAAGACTGTTTACTGTACTGTTGTTTTTCTACAGCTGATAGTCACGTGTTCAAGGACAAACTCGCCTCTATCAGCATATCTGACTGCATAAAGTATATGGAAGAAATAAAGCCATAAAGACGGCGTTAAACTGGACACACCTTATTTACTGCTTCCCTCTGATAACAGGTGAGAGGGGACAGGCCTCACACTCAGTCACTAACATGCTGTTGTTACACTGATGAAAGGATACAGCCGTGGATGACAGGATACACAAACTTGTGCAGCTGGAAGATGAGAGCAGTGTTAATGATGATGTGTTTTACTGTCACATGGATGTTATCATTCTGTTCACAGTTGTTCTATAGGTTACCTGTGTAACCTTGGTTCTTGGTTAATCACGACACTCACAGAGCCAGAGTTACACAAGCAGCCTTCAGCTCCTTCCTGTCTCACTGCGGGACAGGGACTGACTGACCAGGTACTGCAGGGGTTGAAGTAGCAAAGGTAGCACAGGTGAGAAGTGATGACCAGCTACCTGTCTCAGACCCTGGTTACATGAAATGAAGATCTACAGCTCTGGTGTTCTGGGCTGGGAGAAAAGACTCTAATCCTTACTGAGGTCAGCCCAGGACCATCAGAAACAAACCAGGTCATACCACCTGTCATCTGAAGAGGTCTAAAGGTAAAGTAGTGTCACCTGTTCCCACTCTTCATCAGGGGGAAGGCCTGCTGTCAGAGATGGGGATAACTGCACGTACAGTCTCTCCTGGTGTTGGTGCACACTTTGAAACTGATTGGAGTCGTGTGGACACTGAACAAAGAGAGTTCAAACCCTTCCCACTTTCCACCTCCACACGCCTGACCAACCACTGCAGAGAGTGAGGAGGGGAGGGGCTTTCAGACACTCCCACATGATGCAATCCCTACTTAGTTTACATGGTTAGTTTACTTAGTTTATAAATGATTAAGTGCTTTTTTTATTTTATATCACTTTTTATGAGCAAACATATTTTTAACCGAACTGATAAAGACTGATGGAGAGTTCCTCTGCTGAGAACAAAGAGTCAAAGCAGTGAGGTCATGAGGTCAGACTGTATCACTGCTGCTGCAGTCTGCTGTGGTGAAAGCAGCTGGACCTAAACACAGCTCCAGACCCTGGTTTCATAGTCCTCAGAGCTCCAGTCCCACAGTGAGACGGCAGAACATTAACTGTGTCTCACCTCCGGCTGAGCCATGAACTCCCGCAACAGGTGACCGTTCCAGACAAAACGCTGATCTGCCTGCAGCATGGACAGTAAGCACATGTTAATACAGAGCCAAGTACCTGGGCAGACGTGGGCGTGGCCTACGCCTGGAGTTGAGGAACATGCCCCCAAAATATATTTAGAAAAACAAACGTTATTGAGATAGAAGATGTTTTAGTTTTATCTACAACTATTAAATTATTCATGTGGATTTAACTTTGATTTTATGATTAACACATTCTGATTGGGCATCTAATTCCACACTGCACTGTATACAAGGTATTTAAAGGTATACAATGTATATAATGTGTATCTAACCCTCTCCAGAAGGCTCATCTCCTGGAACTCGGGGCTGGTGTTGGCCAGCCGCTGCAGGGTGTGTGTCAGGTCGTAGTCTGTAGCGAAGTAGAAGCCGTCTGTGTGAAGAACACTGTTGATCATCGACAGGAAAGCCTTGTTGTCTTGCATCTGAAACAAGAGACACATCCAGCTCCAGAGGAGGGCAGAGACACAAACTCTGACGGTGGAGGGGAGGGAGGACACCTGAGCGACCTCAGCTACACCTGAGGAGCAGCTCATACTCCTCCTCCCTGATCCTGGTCAGTGTCAGTCAATGAACGGTGAAAAAAAAACTTTCACACGCCCCTGTTTCTCCGTAAGACGGTGTCATTATTGAATCCCATTTCACGTCTGTGCGAGATAGTATATTGTTTTTTTATCACATCATTCCAGATGTTCGCTTATATCACAAACTAATCAGCCTATACACTACATCATTCCAGCTGTGTGAGACAAAATAATCTCAACTCAACTTAATGTTTTTTTTTAGCTTTCTCTAGTTCTGCATCATTATCATCATGATATGATTACATGTTATTGTTATTTTTATAAAATGCTAATTCTAAAGAAAACAGACACAGTTGTTATAGTTTAGTTGGTTGTGTTGACCTTTTGAATAGTTTCCATTTCAGAGGAATTTCTCATAGGAACTGCTCCATTGATTTATTCATTATTTATTTTCATTGGAAACTTTGTTCTTCATACTGTACATGTTCATGTGTATATGTATATATACTGTATATCTAGTTTAAATGACTTGGATCTTTCAACAGGCCTCCAGTGGTTCTACAGTTCTGTATCAGTAACTGTGGAGAAAATGATGGACCAGGTCAGATAAAGTGTTTCTCCCTGGTCCTGATGATGCTTCATCTGGACAGATGTGACTGATACAACAATTATCTGTCTGGATAGTTTTAATAAAAATGACAGTATCAGAGCAGATTATTTTAGCTTTAGGTACACGACAGTTCAATGGCTGTACAAGGCGTGCCATGCTTAGGCCCCACTGCCTGCTGGGAAATAATGTGTAAGAGACCCCTTGAGTATAGTTCAGGTGGTTTATCTTCCAGGCCTCAACAGCCCAGGGACTAAAACTATGTGTACGCACAAAACCAGAAACACACACACACACACACATTCTTTTCATCAGAATTATGAAGCCGTGCGTTCACATGGTTCCACTTTATAAATCTCACTCATTGTGCACAAGCCTCATTTCCACTCCCACAGTTAGCCATGAATGGATGAAGACTCTCCCTTAAACAGTCAGTTTGTATAAAAACACCGTCTGTGCCACAAGTTCTAGAGAGAAGAAAGACGGGAAGGACCTTCATTTACTGGGAGCAGAGAGTCTTCATGAGGCTCCACAGGCTCCAACACTGTGATTATTAATATTCAAATAGTATGAAACAGTTACAGAATGACACAATAAATAATCAGGATATTAAATGATGCTGAAGGAAACATTGAGAACAAACAATTATTTCTGTTTATGAAATGTAAAACTGTAAAACTTATAATGATGATAATGAATGAAGCTCCGTGAAGTCGGTTATTTTATTAGGTGTTAAATTATGTGTCTCAGCTTATTTCACTTTGGGAAACCGTGTGTCACATGGTCAAAGGAATGTGTGAGGTGACACACTCTGTCTTTATAAATACCAATTTACATGAGGGAGGTGGCGTACGCATCATTTATACATCTGGCCCCTGGAGTCAGACCATTAAAACCAGAGGATCCTACCTGGTTGTCTGTCAGGTGAAGTATCGTTTTCTTATAGGAGATGATGTCAAAGTCCAGAGCCTTCCACACAGCGTGACCGAGCAGATCCCCCACCTTCTGCTTCTTTGTGATCACCACCAGGTACATACCTGACACACACAGGTGGTGATGAGACACACAGCACACAGCTGGAGTCCAGCTCTCTAACAGCTGATGGCTGCGATCTTCCTGCTGAACTCACCTGCCACCAGACGTATAGTCCCCATGAGTCCACATACTGGCCTGGTCTCGGCTGATGCAGGGATGTCCCTCCTCACTGAGGACACAACAACAGTTATCAGGACTTTTACTGACTTCAAGAATGACACACCTGACTGATCGAATACAACAATATTAAGTGGAGCTCGCAGCAGCAGCAACAGGAGCAGCTTCTCCCTGTGCTGCAGTCACAGAGCGACTCAGTGTGTTTGAGTGTGTGTGCGGCTGGACTTATCAACCCAGACTAAATCTGGGTTTGAAACCGCTGTTTCAGCTGATTCTGTGCTTTTATGACATGTTGCAGACTCCTCATTGAGCTTGTGTTGTGATCAGCATGGGGCCATGTCACATACTGTACACACAGCACAGAGATGTACAGCTGATATTTGCCCCGGACCTCAACCTCTCTAATGATGCGAGGAATCTAGGGTAATATTTGTCACTAAGCTAAGCTTTGATAATCAAGTCAAACACGTGCTTCAGTCTCGATTCTACCAGCTCAGGAATAATTCTATCAATCACTGACCTACAAAAAGTTATACACATGCATTTATCTATTGCAGCTTGATTATGTGATGCACTTTATTCAGGTATCAGCCAGGCCTCCAACTACCATCTTCAGCTGATAGAAAAAGCTGCTGCTGGAACTAACAGGTACAGCCACATGACTCCAGTGCTCACCTCCCTTCATCGGCTCCCTCTTAGATTTCATATTGATTTTAAATTTTTACTAGTGACTTTTAAAGCCTTAAATGGCTCTGCCCCCAATTACATCTCTGATGTATTGACATGGTATGTGCTCAAACAAGGAGTGAGATCGGTGGATGGAGGTCTGCTGGTCCCCGCAAGGTCAATGCTTGTGACTAAGGGTGACCGGGCGTTTGATCTTAGAGCCCCAACACCCTGGAACTCTCTCCCACCTGGAATCAGACACTGTAAAGCTTTACCTTTAAATCTCTTCTAGAAACGCGTTTCTTTGTCTCGGCCTTTGGTTCGATGTTTGATATGTGTTTTATGTATATTGTTTTATCACTAATGATTGTTTTTACATATTTTATTTCCTCTTTTCACTCACTTTCAGATCTTTTTGCATCATGTTTTTTCTTTATGCTGTTCCACACTTCTTTATTATACTCAGGTTCTTTGACCTTTTATTTTATCTGGCTTTACTTTGTTCTTGTGAAGCACTTTGTAACTTTGTTAAGAAAAGTGCTATATAATTAAAAGTTCTTCTTCTTATTATTAAACAGGTTAATTGAGTCCAGCTGTATAGCATGAATCAGTCTCTGTACATAAGATCAGTGTGTTATAAACAGGCTTCAGCCCCCTTCACTCTACTGTGTTGATATGAAATGGATAAAATTACCATCAATAATTCATAATGACCGAAAAAAATAATCCAGGTCTTTGTAGGACCCCCTTCAGCAGCAGGTACAGCTTCAGTCTTCTTGGCCCTGTTCAGACCTGGTATTACCATGCGTCTTCAGTGACCCGATCACAAGTGGTCCTCTCTGAGTACGTCAGTTCACACCTGGCTTTAAAATGCGTCTCCACGTGTCTCCAGTGAAAACTTGTTACTGGATCTCACTTGCTGCTTTATATGCAGATAAACAGGTTGTCAATGTAATTGTGTGTGTGTGTGTGTGTGTGTGTGTGTGTGTGTGTGTGTGTGTGTGTGTGAGTGAGTGAGTGAGTGAGAGAGAGAGCAATCGGGGCACAGAGGGGTTAAGCAAATGAAAGCGCTGCCCACAGCTCTACAGTGAAATAAAGTTTTAACTATTTGAAACAGTAAAATATTTCCCGTTCATTATAAACTGTGTTGGACTAATCAGACTGAGACAGAGGACGTCAGTAGAGTAGTCGGTCCTTCAGTGTGGCCCAGGACACATTCACGTTCACACTGCTGAAAGAATGTGGACACATGTGGTCCAGACCACCTCTGAATGTGGTCTGAGTGATCCGATCTCAAATGCATCTTGGGTGCGTTCACCTTCTTACCTGGTTCCTCAGTTTGTTTGGATACAAGCTCTATAGGAGTCCTGGTTCCAGACTTGTTCCTCTTCACAGTTATTGCCCCCAAGGTGCTCCTGGGAACACTCAGAGCTTTTTGTCCTGATCTCTCTCACCACAGTTAGATCACAGAGGTCTAATGAGAGTTCACTGGAATTCATGTCTTTGTCCTGACCTGCAGGTGAACTGTCGGACCCGATACACACAGGTGAGTGTTTCTAAACTCAGTTCACCACAGGTGGACTCAGTCAAGGTCTAGACTAACTCAAGGATCATTACACCAAACAGGAAGCAGCTGACCACAGTGTGGAGCCACAGTGAAGATCTAGAGACTTTAGTTCATTTTCAACACATTTGCAAAAACATTGTTAATGTTTTCACTTTGTCAAAAATGTCAACGTCATCCATTTCAAATGAAATCTACAACACAGTGAAGTGAAGGGTCTGTGTAGGTGCTGACCTGACCTGTACCCACCTGTCAGAGTCATCTCAGTTGACACTCTGTCAATAGCCAGGACGTCCTCGGAGCCATCGTCACAGGCCTCTATGTAAAACTTCTCTGGTGTGGTGCGCCTGGTGAGACAGAGACAACAGCTGTTTCAAAACCAGCAAACACCAACATCACACCTCCACCACCAGCAGAGCCAGCACCTCCAGCCGTAGATGGCGGGCCGGTAGAAACCAGAAACCACTACACTAAACACACAATGAACAGAGAGCAGCTATGAGCTAAGAGCTAATGCTGGGGCAGCTGCTTCAGAGTGAGGCTCAGTAACAGCTGCTAACGGTCCTCTGAGCTGGAGCTCCACTCTGAAGCACAGCAGCCATGTTACCGATCCTGCTGTCAGACCCAGGTGGACTAAAGCGGACCGTTCGTACAGAAAAGTTGGTCCGGGAACGGGTGTAGCACAGTTATCAGTGACACGAAGGCAGCGCCGAGCAGAGACCGTGCGCTCGGGGATCTAGTTTATCGTGAGCCCGGTCGGTATGAGGTCCTCCCGGAGACCTTTCACTCAGCAGAGACATTAGACACACAGCCGGGACTCTTCACACACTCTTCATTAGCACTTACAAGTTGAAGCTCTCATAGGTGCTCGCCATCTTTCCTCCCGTTTGACCTCAGTGACGTGTCACCCGCACACCGGCTACTTCCGTCATGAGTGGCGGGGAGATGCAGCAGCGAGACACGGGATGGCGCTGGCTCCACGGGGGAGGCTCACCCATCAGGACAGGACAGTATACCTAGATCCTAATGGAATAGACTCCTTAACCCGATGGCAAAAACATTTTAAAACTCAGTTCTTCCACTCCAAGCTTTCTGATTTCCCTCTTTAATGTGTATCGTTCCTCTGCTTGACAGATGTTTGTTTATTCTGTGCAGTGTTTTATTGAGTCAGGTATGTCCTACCATTAGCCTTGTTTGCCTCGGTGCTCCTCTTAGCTGTTCTCCCTGCGCCCACTTCTCTCTGTACTGCATAAAGGTGTTGTCCTGTTTTTCTTGTATCCCAACTATGCTGCCACTCTCTAATGATGTTTCTTCTGATTATTCATTTTGCTTTACTAAGTGAAATGTCCAGGACCTCCTCCTCTTTCAGAGCCTATTTTGCTAATGAACTCACAATTTCATTGCCCTTAATCCCTCTGTGAGCTGGTATCCACATAAATGTTATTAAAATATTCATATTTCCCAATCTGTGAGGACTTTCATATATCTCATTGACTATATCCTGCCTACTTTCACATGTAAATGACTGCAGTGACATTAATGCAGAACATGAATCTGAACAAAGAATAAAATTCTTAATTTTAAATTCTTCTACCCACTGTATCGCTGTTGCTATCACCATCATCTCCACAGACAAATGATCTAACGCTCCTTTTTTTTTTAACAGAAACCTGAAAGACTGGTATAGAAAAAGCATAACCTGTGCTTCCTGTATTAGGGTCCTTAACTCCATCGTTCATATTGGAACAAATGACTGATATAATGTTTGTAATCAGTCTTCAACCAAGACTACGATATTTCCAACACCTTTATGTACCTACATTTTTTCCAGTATGTAGAAATCAAGTGACACTGAGGGAAACAGCCAGGGTCGTCTAACTGGAAACGGAAACGCAGGGATTTATTTTTGTCATATTTCTAGCAACTTTCTCACTACACCATGCAGAACACTCTGGCTCGGCCCTTTCTTTCTCTCAACATGGGAGAAGTACCTTTACCACTGGATCTCTATCTTCTGAGTGTCCTTGAAGATTTGCCCAGTAGTTCATTGACTGTTTGCATCTAAAATGCAGTGGCATTTCACCGTCTCAACCTGCAGAGAGGACACAGGAGTCGTTTTGAAAGCACAATAACAAAGTCTCAGAGCTTGACCTTGCACCACCTCCAACTTCTTTGAGATGTTTTCGCTGCTGAACCATAAGTGATACACCCATAGTCTAACACTGATCTAATCAGCGCTACATAAATATTCTTAATTGCAGATCTGCTCGCTCCCCAATCTGTTCCTTTTAAACATCTCATCACATTTAATATCTTTTTACCCTTGATGTTTATTTTATGAATATGTTCATTACATGTTAAATATGCATCAAACCACACCCCCAGAAATTTAAAGACTTTCACTTGTTCCTTTGCCCATACATCTTTAACTGTGTATCAACACCTCTCTTTCTAGTGAACATTACTGTTTTGTTTTTTTTCTACAGAGAACTTGATCCCCATGAATATGACCATTTTTCAACTATGCTGACTGCTTCTTGTATTTTTCATCTAATGTGATTATTATTTTTCACCCTTTTCCACAAAGCTCCGTCACCAGCAAACAGTGACTGTCCAATATAATCCTGAACTTGAGAAAACACATCATTTATCATAATGGAAAATAGTATTGGACTAATGACACTGCCCTGAGGAGTACCATTGTCTACTACATAACTAAGGCTGACCCAATTCTAACTTGAATAAATCTATCAAATAAGAAATCTTTTATTCAAATAAAAGTTGTACCTGTAATTCCTATCATATTTAATTTGATCATCAACCCCTCCTTCAAGACCATGTCATATGCCTTTTCTACATAAAAAAAAAAACCCATTACTGATTCTTTGTTAAATTGTGCTCTCTGAACCTCCGTTTCCAAACATACGACAGGGTCCATGCACCTCTACCTTTCCTGAATCCGCTCTGATGGGGTGATAAAATTCCTCTCCTCTCCACATAATATGTTAATCTTCCTGTAATAATTTTCTCTATTGTCTTTCTGATGTGTGATGTCAGTGATATGGGTCTGTAGCTTATTGGATTTGATGGCTCTTTCCAACTTCTTGGTAACTTCCCATATTTTTATTATAAAATCCTAGCAACTTCATAACAGCTAGAACGCCTAAATGTTTTAACATTATATAGCCTAACAAACGTCATCCTTCCCAGGAGAAGTTAGTTTAGACTTTATTATTGCCCTCTTAATTTCTTCCAAAGTAAATGGAGCATTCATTGCACTGTTACTGTCTTCCTTTATCTCAAGTAGTCCTGGATGAATTGATCTTGTTGTTTCCATCCTCCCTTGCCCTCTTCATTCAGGTTGTCCGCACTGTGGATCTTAGCAAATCTCAGCCCTCTCTCCATCTGCCACTGCTACTTCCTCCCCCATCTTAAGTACTGGATATTGCCATTCCCTTCTGATTGCTCTCATTCTCCTAATCATGCCCCAAACATCTCCCACTGGTGTTGTTCTCCCAATTTTGTTGCAAATGGGTCTGCCAGCTTTGTCTCTTTGCTTTACACACAATTTTTCTAACATTTGCTTGAATTTGCTTATATTTAATTAAATTCTGAAAATTATGAGTCTTCCTTAATCACGTGAAAGCTTTATTCCTTTCTCTCACTTCTTTACTCACCTGTCCACTGTGCCTGCTGAATTACTAGACACTAAGGTTAGATCTGGTACTGACGTGTTCCCTGTGTGCACATCTAGCCTGGTCCCTCCCCCATCATTTAAACAAACCATGTTCTTTCAATCTAACAGTTCTTCAATTATCTCACCATTTACCCCACCCCCCCATAATGGGCTATGTGCATTAAAGTCCCCACATTCCAACACCCTATTCCACCCAGCCCCTCAATTTGTGTTAACCTACCCAAATCTAGTTTCCTACAAGGATTGTAGTAGTTAATAATTACAAACGCCCCCTCACCTGATGAATGTTGCACACCCTCCCCCATGCGCCCTATGCGCCCTACCACACCTAACAGAAACATAACCACATTTAATCTTAACCACGTTTCCTGTATACGAATGACGTCAGGTTTACTGGATAACCCATCTACATACTTTTTAAATTCCTATGAATTGGCCAACAAACTTCTAGCATTCCGCTGTAGCAGGAGGACCATTATAGTAGCTACCATCCAACCCATGTATGCTACTGACTTGCTTGAATAATGAGATTGTTTCTCACCTCCTCCCATGTCAGCCCACTTATATCTTATGTTGAACTGCTGCCTTTAGGACTATTTGTATTCTCTCTGTTTTGGATTAACTTCCATTGTAGCTATTACTACCCCTGCTATAAAAAGGACTAACTTCTTCAAATCAACCATCACTTTAACTTCATTTGTCTGGTCTGATTCTTTTGTGGGTCGTTTTCCTGCTGTGTTCATATCTTCAGTGCCCTCTCTCTGTCTCATCATCTGCATATGTGACCTTTCTCTGCACTCTTACCTGCTGTATTTCCATTTCTCTTTTCATCACTTCACACGCCCCATACCTCACACTGTGACTGCCACCACAATTACAACACTTTGGTTGTTTGCGCTGACATTGCCCATACTCAAGTTCTTCACCACACCTGGCACATCTTCTCCTATCTTATCATGACTTGGCTGTATGACCAAACCTTTGACAGTGGTAACACCTCATTGGCCTTGGTACAATTACTCTCTTACACTATAGCTCAAGAAGCCCAGCGTCACTTTCATTGGGAGCATTTTCTCCTCAAACTCAAGCACAACACACTCACTGTCTTTTCTTACTCCTTCTCGAATTACCTGCGACCGCTGAGCACTTTTCAGATTTCCTCCCCTAAGATTTGACTTTATTTCCTCCATAGTGACTCCAACTGCCCCCCACCCCCACCCACCCCAAACTCACCCCCTTACTCCACTTACTTCCTATTTCAATGCGGCTCGTACTTAACACTTTAAACAACCCTACTTCTTTCATCCTGTCCGCTCGCTCTCTCTGTTCTTCATTTTTACAAACAATCAACAGATTCCCATCTTTCAAAGCCTTCGCCAAGTGAATATCCCCAAACTGATTTCTCAACACAGACGTCAATTTCAGCTCCTCTCTCCTCCTCTGAGTGAGCAAAGGTATATGTTTACAACCAGTGAACACACTGAGGTTTATTTAGGCACGAAGCTGTGAAACTGTGTTTGTCTACATTTAAGGTTCAACATTAAGTTTATTGTTCCACAGAGTCGGGCTCTGCACCCATTTTGCAGCCATAGAAATAAATGACAACTTTTCATATAAAAACATACAGATGTGTTGAAAAAAATCAAACCAGGGTCATGAATAACAAACAAGGTTTTTAAAGGTATGTATCAGGGCCACATTAAAGGAAAAAACTAAATCTGAAATTTCAAGAATAGTCATAATATTTTAGGAAAAAAAGGTCATACAATGACGAGAAAAAAGTCTTTAAAATGAGGAACATGGAGCATCCTGTGAAGTTCTACTCTAGCAGAGGTTTCACTAATAAGGAAATACTTCATCTTTTTGCTCATCATCATCATCATCATCATCATCAGGACATTGAAAAGATTGTGAAGAAACTGAATCTATTGTCAGACAGATAAACAGCAGCTGCCAGAAGCAGCTCAGGCTGCCACTGACTGTCCTTTCACCTGGTTTATTGGTTGATGTAATATTCCAAAAAATTATGGGTTTTTTTTTTCCTCTCGAAATTCTACATTCTTAATTCTCCTAATATTATGACTTTATTCTCGAATTTTTAGATTTCTTTTTTTGTTCTTTTTATGCCTCAGTGTGTCCCTAATACTCCACCTAGTTTATCCACATTCAAGGTTCAAAATTAACTTTTTTGTTGTACACAGTGAGAGGCTTGTTTCGGCTCTTCACGCACTTTGCAGCCATTTTCTAACAAAAAAAAGAGATGTGTTGATAAATATCAAATCAGAATAGTATTCACAGAATGAATAGTGATAGTAATAACTCTAATATCACTCAGTAGAGTCCACACCTCCACCAAGACCAAACAATCCTAAAAAAGAAAGAAAGTGATAACATATGTATTTTTATATTCCGCCCCTTTGACCAGATATGATATGCACCAACCTTTTTATGGGTTCTTCTCTGGCCCCTCGCCCATCCCTCCACTAAGTCTGGTTCGGATCAGTTCAGGACTTTGTATTCAGTTTATGTTGAAAGTAAAACAACTTTCTGGATCTGAGAGAGACGGATGTGTTGTTGGCTTTGTGTATAACACCATTCCCCACTCCGACCAGCGGGTGTCGCTGTGGAGCCTGTTGGTGACACGGGACGCTGCAGTAGAAGAAGAAGAGTACGAGTCGCACGTGTGATCACAGTCCGTGTGTTCAGATCGGGTCCCGGTCCAGGAACGAGAAGAGTCCCGTTGACAGCGCCGGTTCAACGCCTTACACCTGAAAACATGAAGCCAGGTACAGTAGAGTCGTTAGCACCTCACCGTGATGGTGTTTTCATGTAACGTTGGACGGTAATTCGGTGAGGCAGTCCTCCGTCAGAGTGAAATAAGAGGTTGTGTTCGGCCTACTCCGCCATGACGCTCCGGTAACCTCACTACGAACCGTGTTCTCTGGGAGGGAAACCGCCGCCGAGTGTGTGAACTTTCTCTGGTTATATCTGTGACATGTGAGATAAAATACAGAGTTAACGCTAGGATAACGTCAGGTTAGTGGTTTCACGGTGGGAGCAGGCAGACCAGATAAATAACGGCTCACCATCGACACGCTGTGCACACGTGTTGAGCCTTGTTCAGCTGCACAGAGTCAGGACTGGTCTGTACGACTGATCCAGATCTCAATATTCCGTTTAAATGAATGTTTGTGTCGGTGCAGTGTTTACGGGGACGCAGATGTTTGAAGCCGGACGTATTCACTTTGTGCCACGAGGCACGATCAGCAAAGTTACCAGCAGCTCATGCTAATGCTAGCTCGGACCAGAGCCAACTGTAGCCTTGTTTACCGGACCCAGGTCCGCGTCCAGAGAGCTGATTTGCGTACCAAAGTAAGACTGGGTACACTATAAAAGGACCCGAATGTTTGTGGGTACTTATTACACCGAGTCGTGGTTGAAAAAAAAAAGAGAAAAAAATATGGGTGAGGTTCATGCTCATCTCATGTGTTCTCAGACTTAGATCTTACAGAAGTAAAGGTTTGGAGGATGAGGACTTAAAACTGTTTTTAGGCCTGGTATTCATCCCACCTCAGGTAAAGAGGAGCTGCCCCTCTAAGCCTTTCTATGGGACCACCCGGGACTGTGTCCATGCTGTGGCTGTCCTGCACAGTCCTTCACAGTGTTAATGTTAGCTGTTATTTTACTATATACGTTTGTATCATCGATACAGGTCTGTTCGTATTATTCCACAATATACTCTCTATCAGTAATGACGCCATGTTGTCTTCTGATAGCTAAAAGAAAGTTTTTGTTTTAAATATACACTGCTGTGCTGTTCTTCAGTCTCCCATGATGCCTCCAATTCTGCTGGCTCTTCTTCTGTGTCACATGTTCACTGGAGGCGTTTTTTCTCACCACCAGCAGCAGCGCTGTGGAGAAGTGTTTTTATCAGCAGGTCCATTTTGGTTTGTGTAATGCCGTCCACCCTGTCGACAGTAGGTGGTGCTAGAGCACCTAGAAAGGAAGCAGTGTGCCAAGTAAAGAAGGAAAGAGAAAACAGATTTTACTGAAAGTGGATACAAACAATACATCTCTCAAAAGAGTCAGAAATAATCCACTCTGCACAGTTGTGAGGATCCATGTGACGTGAACCTCATCCTCTTCCCTGTATGTGAAGAAATGTCAGCAATGAGTTAATCAATGGAGAAACAGCTTCTTCAGAAGTTATGTTGGTGCAGAGCAGGACGATGTGAACACAGAGGGGCAGTGAGAGGCAGGTGGTCTGGGTCTTCATTTAGTTTGTACAATGGTGTTTATCTGACACTTTTCATTTGTAACTCTGCTGTATCATGGTCACATCCACTGTAAAATGTGGCACAACAGCATTTGCATTTCAAGAATAAAATATGAAACAACAACTTGGCTTAAAAGGCAGAAATGAGGCAGTGACATCAAGGTGATCTGATGTTTCCACATAAAGAGTTATCCATACGAGTGATGATGGAGCAGCCTGATGTGTGTAGTTATTCTGTAGCACAGAATTTGTTTAAGGTAAACACAGTGGAAGGCCCCACCTGATGTCACCGCACTGTTGAGCAGCACTCGTCCAATCAGAGGCTGCAGATTCATCAACATATGTCCTGCTGCCTTCAGGTGCTGCAGGGATTTAAAGAACTGAAGGAGAAACTGTTCAAACAGTAGAAATCAGCTGTGGACAACAGATACTATCAGAATCACCCAAATGCATTTATAGATCAGTGCAGACTCATTTACTGACGCTCCTCCTTTAAACCACATGAATGTTATTTTTTTTTAATGCTGATTTAAACACATCCACCAGCTGGAGAGTGATTCATTAAATAGTTTATTAACATGTTAAGCATTTTGTCATTGGTGCACATTTGCTTCAAGTACGAAGTCTGCTCTTGTTGTAAAAGCAGCAGACTGTCAGTGAAGTGACATTGGTCCAGAAATAGACCTGGTTCTGAGACGTCTATTCTCAGCTCAAACCCTAAGACCCAATTTCAACCAAAGTACCAACAACTCACTTTGCGCTGCCTGAATTAAATCACCCTCCTACACTGTGGGTCTGTACTGGACACCAGAATACCATCAGCCAGAGGAGCACCTTTTCTGCTGGTTGTTGTGCCACCACACCAACAGAAACACAACTGTATGCACATCCTCAGTCCATGTTCCTGTATATATATATATATATATATATACACACATACATAAATGCATACAGCATCACAATGTATATTTTTGTACACTGATACGGTTCCCATTTACCTCAGTGTCAGAATTTCCACAACTGCAGACGAGCCGAAGCAATCGCTGAATAAAAACACAAAATATTCATCAAAAACAGTCAGGAGTATGGAGAGCAATAATTTAGCTTGATGATGAGGAGAGTCGAGAAAAGAAAAGAGGAAGAGCAAGATGTTTTTGGGAGAGTTTGCTGCATTATCAGAGAGATTACTGACTCAAGAAGTCCAATCAGACCAGTCACACTTCCTCCGATCTTCATGTGGGATCGTCCCACAGAGTTTTGTAGCTCCTGCAACATGTGAAGGCCCCGTTTATACTCCACAGCCTCCTAATGCACGTGTCTGAATCCCACTGAAGTGTCTCTGCTGTTCCTTTTTCAGGGTTCAGTCCTCGTGGGGATCGAGGAGGAAGAGGAGGACGGGGAGGATTCGGTGGAGGTAGAGGAGGGTTTGGAGACCGAGGAGGGTTTGGAGACCGAGGAGGACGAGGGGGATTCAGAGGAGGAAGAGGTGAGGCTGGAGGAAGAGGAGGATGATGATTGCAGTATAAAGCGTAGTGAACATGTAATCTGTATTGTATGTGTGTTGATGTGCATCAGTTAACATGTTAAACACCTGTTTTACCAGAGGAGCTCTAAAACGTGTCTGTTCTTCAGGTGGAGGATTCAGGTCCCCGGATGGTGGAGGATTTCGGGGCAGAGGGGGTGGAAGAGGCACCCCGAGAGGGAGAGGAGGCAGAGGAGGGAGGGGCGGTGCCGGTGGCAGAGGAGGCTTTGGAGCAGGGAGAAAGGTCTTGGTTGAGCCACACAGACATGAAGGTATTTATAAGTCCTGTTTCCTGTTGTTCTGGGTTATTAGTCGGGATGTAGTAACTTAATCCAGGAGCCTGGGTGAGACGTTAGTTTTTCAGCTGGCTTCATTCTATCCTCTGTGCTTTGTTTCTGTTCATATTCACCTGTAGACAAACTAGGTACAATAATGTTACTATTGTGTCCATCCATCCATAGGCGTGTTCATCTGCAGAGGGAAGGAGGACGCCCTGGTGACCAAGAACATGGTGGTGGGAGATTCTGTGTACGGAGAGAAGAGGATCAGTGTGGAGGTGAGATGTTAGTTCACAGCAGCACAGTGGTCAGTGAAGGCAGCACATTCATACTTGCTATCCTCTGCTGTGCTGCATTGCAAACTGAATGGGTAAATATCTGTTTGTCATTTATAAGACCACCTCTTCATCAGTCCTGAGGTCTTGAAGTGTCCTGGTCCTGTGAAACCAGCAGCTGTGATCTCTGGTGTCACAGTCAGACTCACTGTGCTCTGACTCCCTGTCTGTCAGGAAGGAGAGACTAAGATTGAGTACAGAGCGTGGAACCCGTTCCGCTCTAAGCTGGCAGCCGCCATCTTAGGAGGAGTAGACCAGATCCACATCAAGCCTGGAGCAAAGGTCATGTACCTGGGAGCTGCCTCTGGAACCACAGTGTCCCATGTCTCTGACATCGTTGGACCAGTGAGTACCACACACTCAGTAAAACCATCTGATTTGTTTAAGAACTTTACACATTGGACAACTTTTTAATTTAAAAGGATTAAAGCTCAGATTGTCCTGTAAACATGGTTCTGATGGCTGTCCTGTCGACTCATGTAATCGATCATAATCGTTTGGAATCCAAAATCGTAATCAAAAAATAAAATTAGGTTAATTGCCGAGCCCTAATGGATCCCTTTCGATAAGATTTTGTCCCAGTGTCACCCATGTGATAAAATATTTCTTTTACATGTCAGAGTCACACATTCTGTCACTGTGTTACTTAAGGATGGAATTAAAGTGAAAATAAATGATTCCCCCACTTTGAGAACCACTGCTCTAAATGAAACTTGGGATGAATTTGAAGACAGTTAAACCTAGTGTAACTGAGCTGAGCCTCATCACATGAATGTAATGATAGCTTGGTGTTATTTTCCTGACGTACGCGTGTGTGTTTTTTACATTGAAGTACCCTGTGTGTGTGTCTGTTGTGTTAAAGGATGGCCTGGTCTATGCTGTGGAGTTCTCCCATCGATCAGGTCGTGACCTTCTCAACGTGGCAAAGAAACGCACCAACATCATTCCCATCATCGAAGACGCGCGGCACCCGCACAAGTACCGCATGCTGGTTGGTAGGTAGAACTGACCACGGAGGCTGGAGGAGTCCTCATCCATCAGTCTGGTGGTGTCACTGCATCTTCTGAACCTCTGTGTCTCTGCAGGCATGGTGGACGTAATCTTTGCTGATGTGGCTCAGCCTGACCAGACGAGGATTGTCGCTTTGAACGCTCACAACTTCCTGAAGAACGGAGGACACTTTGTCATCTCCATCAAGGTACGCTGACGAGCCCCTCAACACACTGGAGCTCTGCAGACTGTAACACACGAAGTACACGCTCCGGTATCATGTCGGTGAACTGGTCCTGTTACAGTGACGTGTTTATAGAATCAGTCAGGCATTTAGCTGAAGGTACACCAACTGTTTTAGATGCTGTTTGACCATGAGACTGAGCTCTTAGTGGACAGATACTCAGTACGCCTCAACACGTACAGCTGCTGATGCCCATGCTGTGTTTCCTTCTCCAGGCGAACTGTATAGACTCGACGGCAGCTCCTGAGGCGGTGTTTGCCGCTGAGGTGAAGAAGATGAGCGCTGAGAACATGAAGCCACAGGAGCAGCTCACACTGGAGCCCTATGAGAGAGACCACGCCGTGGTGGTGGGCATATACAGGTACACCAGCATCAGGCTGACCAGCTCCTATACACTTTCTGTTATTATGAAACAATGTAGCACAGAACATACGCCCCATGTGTCAGTCTCACCAGCTGCTCAGATGACAAAACCAAGTCAGCTAGAGCTGCCCCCTGGTAAGTTAGTCGATGAGAAGTTCTGATTGGTCAGTTGGTCGCAGGAAATAAAAGAATCGATCTCCACAGGAAGTGGGGACCCTCAGTTCACATTCAGATTTACAGGCAATTGAAGACTCCTGACTCCTTAGTGTCCTGACTGTATGTAGAACTCAGTCAATGTTTAGTCTCATCCTCTGTGACTGGAAGGTCGCCAGTTCAAATCCAGCTCAAGACCTTTGTGCATCATCCTCCTATTTTTCTGTGGGTTGTGAACATCCACACACAATGGCACTTCGTTTTATAGTGTGTGTACATATTTATGCCAAATGACTTTCTTTTTTGTAATTGTCTTTTTTAATTTTTTAAAAGAGACTGAACATAAATGAACATCAGCTACGACTAACACCACATGAACCTGTGGAGCTTTTCGACATGAGGGAAAATAGATAATTAGTTAATAAGTTACACTAGATACATAAACAACAGGTGTATTTCTGATGCTGTTCTGAAAGATGAAACACATCAACAAACAGATCCCATCTAATGTTTCCCTCTGGATTCTCAGACTGAGAATAATTCTCCTGTCACATAAATATTTAACATTAGTTGATCTGTTCGTCAGCTCCAGGTTTTTCTGTCTCCAGTTATTTTTGACAGACTCCAATAATATCTATTTATCCTTCTTCCTCTAATCAGCTGCTCCAATCAGAAACTAAAACTTTTGATTTAGACAGTTTTCGGGATGATATGAACTTTAGTCCAAAGTGACGCCACGGAGGCACAGATTTAAACAGTTTGTTTTAACATTGAAATTTGTCTCTGAAGATGCTGAAGGCTCGAGTTTAATTTTGAAATTACCTTTTATAAGATTCACGCTTATGCTGTCATAAATATTTGAAGTGGCTCATTTTCTATCATCAAATTTAAAAAATATTTTGTCAGTGTCTGATTTGGAAGCTCTTCTTAAATCCTGGGTCATGTACAACCTGTTCAGACTTCAGCTTCCTTCTTCAGATTGAATTCTTTTGTTCCATGTCAGTGTGAAGTAATGACACTCAGTTTATAGTTAACTGACAGTGAGGGATGAACAATCACTTTACTCAGTGATGCTCCTTTTCCCATTGCTTTATGTTGAGATGTACACCATTTACTTCAAGGCCTCTTTGGGCTCTTATTATAATTAATAATCTCAGAATGAATGATCTTCACAAACAGGAAGCTAAACCCTCTTTGTTCTTTGGCAGCTGTAGAGGTTTTGTCCTCAGTCCAGATGAGTCTAGATCACCATTCTGTTCTGTTCCTGAAGTTGTTTCTAATATTTCTGTTTCTGTTCTTGAAATGTTAATTCATCTGAACAGAGTCAGTGTTAGAGCTTAGACTTAACTACAGCATTGAATTCTGTCACAAGTCTCACTTAGCTGGTTGTTGCTGTCAAACACAAACAGGGTTGTATTACAGGGAGTTCCTGAAGCTTCATGGTTTCTGTGGTTGATCAGAGCAGTGAATCACAGCTGGAGCTGAATATGGCGGCACCGTCGGCACCTGTATCAGCTGGGTTAAACGGCTCCATCTGCTGGACTGTTACAGAAGTAAAATTGTCACCATATATGACACATAAGTTAAACTGGAACAGCTAATTGTGATGAATAGTATGACAGCGAAGTGTGAATAGAGGACAGACAACCTGGGCTGTGGGGTTTACCTGTTCGTATCTCATCCAATCACGTGACATGTAAATGACTGAGACATGTAAATGAATGAGTGCAGGAGAGTCAGTTGTTGAATGCCTCTTACAGGATTTTAATATTGGTCTACATTCACAGTTGGCTCAAGATAACAACTTACTACTCACTGTACTTCTGTTATTTACAAATTGATGTTCACAATTCAAATATATACACACGTCTGGATATAAGGTCAGACCGTAACTGAAGCTCAACATCATCATTTAGCTTCATTACAACCCGGGTCATATTTTCATAGTTGGGGCCGTAGTTTCAATCAGTTATGACCATGTTGTAGTTGCCCAAGCAACAGGATCTCAACACACGGGCAAACCAAAAGTTGATCTAGATAATTTAGTCCTGAGTGGATGTTTTACATCCGATGGTTTGATCAGTTTTATGATTCACCTTTGTTTTCTCTTCTGAATAAGTCTGTGGATCGTTGGAGTTTGTGTCCAGCCTTAAAGTATCTCCTACAGTAGTCAGTAGTTCTACAGTATCTGTAGGGAGTCTAACAGGGTGGGGCCCATGTAAACCCAGGTCTACAGTGTCAGACCTGTGTGGGACTAAAACACATTAATATGGTGAACTAAGTAAACAGATGGGTCCAGGTGACGGTGGTGCTGCTCCAGGACTGGGACTGTGAGGTGTAGCAGTTTCACGTCCCTACTAATGTTCCCAGAGTTGAGTTATGGTGACAGGTTGGCACATACATCCAGACCCTCCCAAAGTGCTGTGCTCAGCTCTACGTATATAGTCCCTGCTCGTTTTCATGTCCTGTGTTAACGGACTCTCTCCTCTCTCTCCTCAGACCTCCACCTAAACAGAAGAAGTGAAGTGTGGCAGGAAGCAGAGAGAAACGGATTCCTGTTCTCAACCACCACCTATTTTACGTACCATCTGTTGTCTGTTGCCCTCCTCCTCCTCCACCTGCCTGTTTGTAGACTTCTGCAGTGTGAAAGCATGACGAGCACTCAGGGCAGAGCTGGGCTGGGTTTCCTTTTTCTTTTTTGAGTCCTTTGACCACCCACCTGCTGGAGGGTCTGTCCATTACCAGTAAGGTTGGAGCACATTACATGACACTGGGCCATTTGAGCCACAGGTTTCATCTTGAGTTTGCCAGATTGAAGCAGGTTATTATAGTATATATAAGTTTTATAAAATGTAGAGGTTCACCTCAGATGCTGGGTGGACTGGCCTCAGTTCACGTTATCAGGTCGGCTCCTGTGTGTTGTTACACAACTGTGGTCGAGTGTTCACACCCGGTCTTGTCGTGTAGTGTGTTCTCAGCCTTGAAGAGTAGTCTTGATTTTTATTTTTTTTATTTTTATTATTTTTATTATAAATTCACCAGCCTCTGCCCTGTGAACTAGTCACTTCCTACTGAGGAATATTTCAACTGTCATAACAGTTAACCTGAAAGACGTCTTTGTAATTACACACATTTGAATAACTACATGACTCCAGTGAGGATTTTTGTGGTTGTTTTATTTCATCACCTTTTCGCTTCTCTGTGCTCCTGCTTGTTTTCTTACTGAATGTCTCTCTGGTTTTTTTTGTTTTGTTTTGTTTAATGTGTTTCTGGTCTCCTGCTCCTGACTGATTCCAGAAGCACATCTCAAGTATTCACACATCATATACCCAGATGGGTAATATTTTTAGTGTACGAGTTATGTCTGAACTTATGTACAGTAAAATATACTTTTTCTTAATATGTTGTGTGTCCTCGTGTGAAGAGCTTCAGGTTGTCACAATATCCACCATTAATCCTGGTCTGTGTAGTGGTGAGGAGGTAAACTGACCCTGTTCGTGTGTGTGTCTGTGTGCTTGTGTACAGACAAATATAGAAAGTGACTTTTTCACTCTGACTTGTAATTTGATACCAGTTTAACGTTTGTGTGGATGAGTATGAAGCAGAACAGTTGTAGATATTTTACAACAAATTATGCTTGAAACCTTTTTTATTGACATGATCAGTAACTTTGTTTTAATAAAATGTTTTGATTGTTTTTGATTAAATCACCTTGTATATTTACCAATATAACAGTAAACTCCCACTCACATTGTAAACACCTGACAAACGTTTTTTATTTTTATTTTTTTTTAAAGCACTACATGTCCCCCTGTTACGCCTGAGACTGACACAGGTGATGGGTCAGTCCAGGGTGGTGGTCCAGTTCAGGACCAGGACCAGTACAGATGACAAATCATGTCCTCATGTGTTATACTAGTAAATCCAGACTCAGACCTACATCAGGAGCTACCGTCCTCTGCTTTGAGGGTAACAGGCTGTAGTGGTTGTTAAATCTATGCGGAGGAGAGCAGTCAGGTTCCCTCAGTGTAAACTCCCTGTTCTCACCAAACCGCCTCTTTTCTAATCGAAGCCTCTACACTAAAGCCCCCGGTCTGCAGTCGGGTAGTCATTTTACTACATAAAAAACCTGCTCTTAATTTAACGACTAACTTTTGTAAGTTACTCGTATGACTGTCCGCGGTGGATTTGTTTTGGCAGCCATTTTGTGGGAAATTTCTCTGGAGCGCGCTGGGCCGTACTTGCCTGGTGTCGGGAGTGCGCTCTCAATGCAGCCCCTCTCTCCTTTGACCGATATTAACATCACGGAGGGGCTGGCCGGCATAGAGCTAGCTGTAGCGGTGTGTGCTAAAATACGTGTAGTTTCTTCATAGCGGCTGCTTGTATTGTCCATCGGCCCATCGGCTGGCCGTTGCCCGCCAAGCAGCCTGCAGTGTGCGGACTGTCTTCCTCCAAATTCCAATGGCAGAGTTTTATTAGACAGCTAGCATGCTAGCTAAAAGCTAGCTGGCTAATGTTAGCTTCTCGCCTTTATATTAATTTAAAAAGCTGACGGGCTTGCAAAGTCATTTGGCCCACGCCGTATGTGTAAGGTGCTCTCTTATGTATCTGAGAATCAGTCTGGAACAAGTGAATTAAGTTTGCTGAACAGAAAGAGACTGAGTTTGAGGTGTCCGTGGTTGAGGCGGCGAGCTGCCCACCTCCCCTTAGGCACGGCTAGCTGTGCTGCGCCGGCGATCAGTTCCCATCGACAGCCCGCTCTCTGAGCTCCGGAGAATAACGCAATTTTGCTGGAAACTAATCTCACCGGGATTTTTTATCGGCTGCACAATTCTGCACTATCATATTTGGATTTCTGCTGTGGAAGAAGGACGACTGACCCGGGGGAGGGGGCTCGGTTCGTGCGGACAGAGGGAGATAGGGGTTCCGAACATGGCTGCTACGCGGAACTTGGTTCGACACACCGCCTGAGGTAAGACATAACCGGTCGGTGTTGTCTTTTTTTGATTCATGTATGAATTTGCGGCTGGTTGGTTCTTGTCTCTAATGTGTGTGTGTGTGTATGTGTGTGTGTGTGTGCTAGAGGTTTGACAGTCAATGAGAGGTAACAGTGCTGGGTAGCATAATGTTACCCCTTCCCAACGTTATTCGCCCCTGTCACCCGGCCTCGTGTCCCCATTCCTCTGCCGCTCAGATGGCTAATGGGGCAGGAGGCAGGCTTCGATTAAACAGGTGGGTTAACGTCGGTGTTGGACAATGGATCATGCTGAACAATTAAGGCTTGGCTGGCGTGTCTACAGTAGCTGAGGCGTGCATTATGGTGATGGACTACACGTTACCCCTTTTTAGTAGCATGCAATGTCCTCCAAGTCTGTGGTTATCAGCCCCCTGCCCTTCTAGTTTACCTTGTGACTGAGTCGTTTCTAACGGCTAACCATCTGGCGGGTTGACCAAGGGCTGGGTTGGTCTTAAATAGGCTAATGATTGATGCGATCAGTGTGCGTGTATCTAGGCAAGTTTCAGTAGCAGCGGCATCGCGACCTGCCTTAAGTTAACGCACGACACCAATAGACAGGGAGAGGGTGCCGGCGGAGCAAAACGGAGGGAGAGAGGGTAGATGAATGGTTGTGTGGCTGCATGATGGAGACGGGTTGATATCCTCTAGTATAGGCGGCTGCACACTGCTGGTGTGGCGTGTGGATGGCGATGACTTTGGGTGTCACAGCAGCCAGCAACCCCCGACTGTCCTCTGTAGATCTGCAGCGTTTCATCTGCTATGGCAGCTAACGCTAGCCACTAGCTTAGCTACCGCATCAGCCCCAGCCCCTACCCTGCCCTGGAGTAGAGGGACACAGGCTCTCAGTTACCGGGAGATGACTGCTTCTGGGCAGGGAACAGGGATATGAGGAGACCAGAGCTGATGCACAGCTGGAGGAATCATGACTTGACATCTCCTCCCTGTTTGTGTGTGTGTGTGTGTGTGTGTGTGTGTGTGCGCGTGCGTGCGTGTGTGTGCGTGTGTGTGTGTGTGTGTGTGTGTGTGTGTGTGTGTGTGGCTCTCTGGTCCTCTTTCTGTCATTGCTCAACTGAAGATGTTGTGGTCTGAAATTGTTGCCGATTTAAATACGGAGGTTTGTCATAGATGCTGTGCCCCCTCCCCACCCACCTCGATGAAGTTGTGTTGCTGTTTTTCTTGTGCTGCACGCAACTGAGTCTCAAAATGGACCTTTCTCCCCAGCCATTTCTGCCTTACTTCATTTTTTTCATTCATTTTTTTGTCCTCTCAAATCATGTCTTGGTGTACTATTCAACCACCAGTGTAGTAATGTGTCCACTCAATCAAAAAGGCCACATACAGGCCAGAATGGAAAAATTCAGGTGAGAGAAATGACACAATTCCTCAGATTGAAGCTCCTGTCACAGACCGGTGAAGAAGTGCTCATGGAGATGTAATCCAGGTATTTTCAGTTCCATTGAGTTACACAGGTCACAGGCCATATTGTTTGTTTCATGTCACAGTGGATACAGTGAATACATTCAGGTTGTGCTGATGAGCTGTGTCCATCATGAACCTGCTGCTTAGTTTCAGTCAGTGACTGGTCGGTACAAGTACCTGAGCCTGGCTGGAGGATTAGCCCCTTTCACAGAACTGAAACCACCACCACCACCCCAGCATGTATGAAAGCTAAGATGTCTGTGATTACATTTACCATCTGTAGCTGTGATCAGACTTTAAAACTGCACAGAAAAATATACAAATGTATTAGATATTACAACATTCCTTCACATAATTTGATTTAAATGGGAAATTAATTAGCATCTTGGTGTTGCAATACGGCAAAGTATAATACCACAACATGCATGAGGATAAGCATCACCAAGCTCAGAAATCGACTTTAATATCAAGACCTTGTCAGTTGGATCTGAGACTGGGTGCACAGTGGGAGTAGAGCACCTAGGAGTGGCTTCTTCCAGTGTTTTCTTTCCCTGCAAGATAACGCCTCATCCCACACATGTAATGTAAAGTAAATTTTTTGGTTTGCTCTGATGGCTGGAGTGGTTTTGCAGTCTGTGTCTCTTGGCCACAAACAGCCAATGGACTTGTTCCCTGACTGACAGCACAGCTGTGACAACAAGCTCAGACCGTGTGTGTGTGTGTGTGTGTGTGTGTGTGACAGCTCTGACACACAAATTCAACACTTTGATAGACGGACTTCTGAACTTACCAGGAACACTGATAACTCTTATTTTCATCATCATCCTCCTCTCTCATGGTCTCCTTCCTCTCTGCTCCCCATCTCCCTATGTTCATGGATTCATCCTGGAACAACAGCACCTTTACTCAGGCTCAAAGTTCTTCAACAGATGCATCTTTGCTTCAGCTTCTGCCATGTAGTGGCAGAAGCTGTATCTCTGTCCTTTGACTCTGCATGCACTCATACCCCCTCTTAACATTTCCTCATGTGTTATAATGAAACTAAATGGCAGCATTCACCACATGTCATCTGGAAACTGGGGTTTGTGGCTAACTAAGGTGGAGAACGTCAGAACAACCATGTTCAGACATTTTCTCTTCATTCTAAAGAAACAACCAAACGGCATGTTTTCAGGATCAGACACTTCCTGCACATGTCAAAGGTGGGTGAGAAAAGTCATTTTCCAGGGTGTTCACAATTTTTTTGTAAATGTGTACTCATCACATTTTTATTAATACTACTAATAACAATAATTATAATACAAATTATAGAACAGATTTTTATGTAGAGAAAGGAAAATTAGAACTGCATCAAATAACTACATCACTGTAATAGTATGGCTAATAATATAGTCACAAATAGAATAATCAAATAGATGTTCATTGTAATGTGAACTGATTGTTATATCAACCCAAACTGACCATGACTGAGCTTCAACCACTCATTGCATTGGGTTTGAATTCAGAGTGTTGTAAAATAGCAACACCTGTATCATGCAACACAATTTGACTGAATGTCTAGAAATGATGATGTTAAATTGTCCAGTTTTATTAAATTGGATTTTCTGCATCAAAGCTTCCACCCATGTCATTTTTGATATTGATTAATCTGTATATTATTTTCTTGATTAATCAATTAGTTTTTTAGTGTAAAAAATGTTCATCACAGTTTCTTAAAGCCTGGGGTGACATCATCAGTAAGTTGTTTCTCCAGGCAGCAGTTCAATACCTAAAAATATTCAGTTATTGTTGAATATCACACAGACGAGCAGGACGTTGTAAAACTGAGAGACTGAAACAACGGAGTGATTTAATTAGAGATAATTAGAGCAGCTGTTTTTTATTTAATATGATGTTTTTATCAATGTGATGAAGAACCTTGATTTGTCATGAATTCATCTTCTTGGATTATCAGTCAAACAATAGACATTATATTTAACATAGATGTTAAACATTTACTACTAAACTGATCGTGAGACTGAGCTGGTCTCCAGGAGCTCACCATATACACTATCTCTGGAGGTGGAGCCACTCAGTCCAGTAACAATTAAAATTGTAGATGAGTCATGTTATTGATCTGATCAGCACATTAATGACATCACAGAGACCGCCTCTTTTCACATTTACTACTAAACTGATCGTGAGACCACAGTTAGCAGATCTGTGGTTTCCCTCAGCTGAACACTGGACTAGCCATCACAACAAAATAAATACTGCTCAGCAAACATCACG